CATTTCCCCCTTTGTAGCGCAGACAGTACCCACCCAGTCATGTTTTCAGCATGTACTGTCAGACGCAGTCATTTTTTCCTGTGTTTCGAAAGGAAGTTCCTACTTCTGCTTTTGGCGTGATCACCGGCTTTGGAGTCGCTGTTTGTCTATTTTTAATGACGTCGCTTGTCGTTCGTCACAAACAAACGTGTTTCAAGTTGTTTCCAAAACAAGTCGAGCGAAGGTGTGACGGTGTCGGCGCGTCATCCATTAGCGGGCGACGCTAACCTGTCTGCAAAACAACTGTCAGTGGGCCCAGTCACCTCCCGGGTTGGTTTCTCATCACAAAGTAACCTCAGCCCACGCAGCCTCTGCATCTGCTGTCCGTCTGCAGTCAGAACTGGATGCTACAGTCTCTGGTTGCCTTTTTTAAACGGGACTCAGACGTGCTGCTGTCAGAGCTAAGAGTCGGACAAGAACATTTCAAAGTTTGCTGCGATTGTAAAGCTGAGACCCACTCGACTTAACACAACAACACGTATATCGGCTACACTGGTCCAGAGCTCGCTGAACTAAATCTCAACAAGGGCCCCCTTCCAGAGTGTTAAACGTATTCTCTGGCCTGGGTTAATCGGTCCAAATGGAATGCTTCAAAACACTCACTAGAAGCCCAAAAAGTCACAGTCACGGGACAGTCGTCTGTGTTGGGAAATAGTTTTTTGTTGTGTCTTTTCTCCACTGAAAAGGCTCTCAGCTTCTCTGTGTTGACGGAATAAAAGACATGTTAAATCTACTGTAGTGTCCAACACTTTCCTTGCAGCCAGGAATGTGTGGGAACCCCAGAAATACCAGGCCTTTGTCCTGCCGCCTCTCTTTGAGCTCCTAATAAGGGGGAAATGGGAAGAACACATGTAAATGTCGGACACGTTTCTTTTCCGTTGGTTCCATGTTGGTTCAAACCCGACACATGTCCCTCTTTTCCCCCCCCTCTCAAACTCAGAGCTCTAAACTTCTAAACTCTAAGTTTTAGCGCAGCACTTTTCCCCCAGCATTCAAACAGATGCAAATATTTAAGAAGCGTCCTGGGATCGTTTCCAGAAGCGGGCATTTGCATACAGTGCGCTTTGTGGAATGTGTAAATTCTTCCACCGGAGCAGAACCGTCTAAGAGCATTTCCGGTCTGGGACACATTAGTTTAGTTTGTTTTACAAGGGGAACACTTGGAGTTTTGCCTTTGTGTAAACTCCAGACAGGGCCTTAGTACAGACCCTCTGCGGAGTAAAATGCGCTTTTTTAAAACATTTACGTATTCCCAAGGAGGTTTGTCTCAAGAGTCAGGGGGTGAAGAAAAAAAAAAAAAAAGCTTTGCTGAATATAGATGCTGCAGTCAGGGGGGATTTTCTGGCACAAATAAACACAGGAAGCGACAGCCATTTGGGACCATTTTGATTAGACATGAATGGAGCATATTTAAATTCAAGTTACGTCTATATGGAAACATAAACATCCTCATTTCCTATTAAATCCTTCAGAACTTGAAGCCGAAGCTGGCACTTTGCTCCGTTTGAGCTGCACATCAATGATCATTCCAGCCGTTTTGTGCTTTTTCGTGACTCGGTCCACCTCACTTGCAGCTGTGTTTATCGAACTTTCGCCGTAAAAGTTGAATTCCGCAAGCTTTACAGAGCTTGGATTTGGGCCGCTCTGCTCTGCTCTCCTGGCTCTTCGGCTTTTTTTTTGTTTATTTTCAAAAGAAGATAGCTCGCCCCAAAAAGTGTGGAAATAAAACCCTCTCCTCGCACATGAACCCCAAATTAAGAGCCACAGCCTGTCGTGCAGTCTGGGGTTGCTCTTTCAGCCCCTCTCCGCTGGAAACGTTTAGCTCATGTTTGGCACAACATGATGCAAAAAAAAGAACACTGTGACAGGCCACACGGTTTCTGCGTCATCTAGAACCTTTTTAAATGCTCATGCAGTGGCATAGAATTTGGGTCAGCTTCACCAAAGCTTCCCATGCTCACGGACATCATCTGGCTACCTGTGCATTGTGCAGATTTGCATTAAAACTAGCCATTTCAACCATTCTCCTCAAAGCTAATGGTGTTATTGCTTTCATGTGTGGTGTATTGGTATGGTTGGAGTTTTTTGGGCCGCTGTTGGACCCTCACAAGCGAAGGGAAACCAGAGATTATCCTTAAGCAGTAATCACATCAATACTACTCGTGTTTTTACATGTCTTTAATGGCAAAATTCTAAAAAGCAACAAGAAGGAAAGTGGGAGAAACAAAGTAGCAGCCAATCTCACAGATGTTTTTTTCCTTTTTGAAGCTCAGTGATTTGCAGGATAAACTCCATACAAATTGGGCCCATCTGACCACGAAGTATTTGTGCTTTTATGAATCAACTTTGAGTAAATTTGTGTCAGAAACTATAGAAAGAAACTCTGTTTGCTTAAAGCTAAGAGAGCTTCTTCTCCACAGCAAATAGATAAGTTAATTATCTTTCTTTATATACTGAAGAAAATGACAATTGAAACCAGCAGCAGGTTTCGGTTTCAGTTAGGAAGCATACAGGAATATTTCCTGACTCCTCAGCGAGGTAATGCACACAGATAGAAATGACAGAAAGGAACTTCCCTTCATAAAAGGCTAAATGATAAATAAATCTGTTTTCCAGCTACCTGTTTCCAGCCTTTTGTGAGGTATCATGGTCAGCTAGTTCAATGCTAGCTGTCGCCATATGTTTGTCAGCTCCTAGCATACTGCTTGGGTTGCATAACTACTTTCAAATGAGCTAGCTAAAGACACACTGAAAGCTAAAAAATGAACAAGCTACGAATAAACATCTAGACCAGAGTTCCATAGCTGTGCAGTCTTTTGTTTTTCCGAAAAGCAGAGCGCCTTCGTTTCAACTTTCATTTTTCTGACGTTTTTTTTCTCCCACATCTTAGCATTTAGCCTATGGCCCTTTTGCCACTCTGCTGTCCTGCGTTCTCTGATAAACCTCAAAAAGTCAGGGGGTCACCTTTTGATAAAGAGGCCTTCCTCCCTAATAGGGGATTTTCTACATGAGAAGCCTTTTTTTTTTCAGTGTCAGAACTTCTGAAAAGGGACGCCATGTTCCGAACCAAACCCCAACTGATCCGTCTGAAATTGTCTCGT